CCAGCCCCATCAGTTACTAACTGTGCAGTCTAGGACAAGTTACTTAACCTCTCTGAGCCTCCCTTTTCCCATCTATGAAATGCTGACAATGATACCTGCCCCAGCAGGTTGTCAGAAGGATATTCATGCAAATAATCTACATTTAAGTACATGGCACACAGTAGCTGCCCAATACACAGTAGCTATAAACTATTATTGTTATGGTTAACAATAAATGGTTCGACGGTCAGGCTGAACTAAAAAACAAGGCTTTTGGAATAGATGCTAAGGGTTCAACATGGGGGCTGTCTCAGCCCAGCCTCTCTGAAGTCTGGGGGGCAGAGGGGGCTCCCAGCCCCTTCTCGCGGGTCTGTCGGCTGCATCACTGGGGGTGGAGAGCTGGATGAGCTTGCCAAACCGGTAAGCATCATGACACCCAAGAAATGAGCCCAGACAAGGGCTGTGAAAATACCTATGGGTTGGCCAAAGAAAGGAGGCCTTGATTACCTGGTTATAACAATCCTGATTGTAACCTTGAAGGCTGTGGACGGGAGAGGGGCATGGTAAAAGGAGTCCCTTAGGCAGATCACTCTGGCAGCATCGAAGGAGAAACTGAAGGCAGAAAGGCCAGCTATTGCAACATCCGGGATGAGGACCCAGATCAGGGAAGCAGCAGTGAGAATGTGAAGGCTGGAGAATGGCTAGGACCTTGTCCTTAAGGATGCACCTGACCCCCACCCTCAGAGAGCCGTGAGGAGGTTCGGGGACTGCAGACAAGTTCACGTGGCTCACTCTGGCCCACCGGGAAGAATCCAGGCTCCTGGGCCAGCTGACCGGAGGGAGAGGCCCCTCTGCTGGCCAGGAGCTTCAGCCAGCACGGAAAAGAGGCTCTGGAAACAACAGGTGTCTTGCTGGTGCCACACCCAGCCAGAGCTGGAAAGAGACAATCTCCCTGTGGCTGTTACAACCAGCAGCTTTGTGAAATGTCCATTTCAAAAAACCTCAGCTTTGAAGAGTTGGAAGGTATATACCCTACAAAAAGGATTGAAAACAGGTGTGCAAACCAAGACTCCTACACTCATCTCCATAGCAGCAAAATTCACAATAACCAAAAGGTAGAAACAACTCCAACAGCTGCCGGTGAACAAGTGGACAAACAAAAGGTGGCATAGCTACACAATGGAACGCCCTTCGCCACAAAAAAAGACAGATCTGCCTTACGACAGAGATAAACCTTGGAAACATTATGCTAAGTGAAAAAGCCAGACACAAAAGGACAAATACAGTATGATTCCATTTATTTGAAATGTCCAGAATTGGCAAATCCACAGAGACAGAGAGCGGTTGCCAGGGATACCGGGGATGGGGATAGGGGAGAATGATGGCTTATTGGGTCCGTGCTTTCCTTTTGGGGTGATAACAATGTTCTGGCACTGGATAGAGGGTAGCGGTTGCTCAACACTGCGAGTGTCCTAAATGCCATGGAATTGTACATGTTACCGTGTTAAAATGGTGAGTTTTCTGTTATGTGGGTTTTTACCATAATAAAAGAAAAAGATATTTAGTGGGAAATTAATGCTTTGCATTTGTATACTGTAAATATAAATGACGATTTGTTTGAAATGTGTAACTTTGATATGCAAAAGATAATAACTCACAATGTTAATATTAAATATTCCTTCAAAATAAAAAATTTAAAAAAAATTTAAAAATTTAAAAAAAATTTTTTAAAAAAAGATAGGAGGTGGCTCATCCCCTCCCCATTTATGGGGGACCCCTGGGACTGAGGAGCCTTTCTGGTTACCACTCCCCCAACACTGAGCACCAAGCAGGCAGGCACGCGGAAAGTGCTGGGGAAGGAGAAAGGCTTCTATTCTCTGTACTTATCTCCATGAAGCATGAACCCCCCACCCAGTCACCCTATGCCCATCACTGAGAATACATGCAAACAAGTGTTCATTTCCACCTCCAAGCCTTTGCTGTATGTCCCTTCTCCTACCCCTTCACACACCCTAGGACTCCCACTGCACTCCTTGCCATCTCCCCAACTTCTGCAGTCCCCTCCATGTCCAGCTCAAATCCGTCCTGACCTCCCATCTCTGACCTCTGCCCACACGCATCTGGCATTTCAACAGTCCACCCAGCACTTGATCACATTCTCCGCTCAGCCCTGCCTTTTCAAGATCTCCAGCCCGTGAATGAATGAATGCACAGGGATCTCAGGAGCGCTCACCTCTGAGCCAGACACAGTAATTGTTGGTCCTAAGCCCAGAGCTCTACCCTGGACCTCTCTCCTGGACACTCCTACGCCAGCACCATTCAGTTCCCAGTGGGGGACAGCCAGAAGTAGAATGAGGTCAGTGTGCCTCCAGGAAGAAGACCAAAATCTACCCCTTACCAGGTAATGACCATCGAGCCTTGTTTCATGTCAGCCTGACAAGCCAGACCAGGGAGTCCCAGGGTCCCTATCACACCAGGCCCCTTGCCGCTATTCTCATTAAAACATTGAGAAATCAATAGAGATTGCAATTACAGGAGAGAGAAAAATCAAGAGTCCCCTGCACCCAGCAGTTTCTGGATGGACACGGCTAAGTAGAGCTGAAATCTGGGTGAATACAAAAGGAATTCCAGCAGAACTCTGGGCGATGGTCTTAGCATTGAAACCAGTATCAAAGTCAACAACATATAAGTGGAATGGGACTCTAGATGACCATTGAGATAACAGAGAAGACACCTAGGTCGATGCTGATACAGTCAGAAGGGACTTTGGAGTGAACACTAACGCAGTCACAGAGTGGGGCTGAGGGCTCTTCTGGGGTGGAGAGAAGTCAGGCTGGGAAGGAGGTTGAGTAAACCCTGAATGAAGGATGGAGGGCTAAAAGAGGTGCAGTGTTGAAGCCTTCTCTAGGCTTCCCTACGGTCAAGGATGGAGCAGGACCTTTTGGGGGACATGTTGTGAGCATGAAAGCACGGAGCCAGTTCACTGGACCCCAGCTAACTCCTGCCCTTGAAGGACTTAGCCTGGCTTTGCCACCTCCTCTTGACTGGCCCACCACGTAACTGGGCAAATCACTATCCTTTTCCATCATTCTTCTCCCTTGTCACTGCACTGGATGGATGATGGCCACAGCTTCCGCCATCATTAGGAATCTGTGTCCCATGCTCAGAAACAATCTTTTTGCATGCTCATACTTACAGCTTATTTCTGATTACTTAAAAATCATGCTGATTTCATGAATGAGCAAACTATTAAGAATGAAAGAAAATATCTTATATGATCCCATTACCTAGAGAAAAACCATTGTTAACCCTTGGAAACATTCTTTCTATGGCTGGTATGTTGGCATTCATATATATTTGTAACAAAGCTGGGATCTTACAGACCATACAACCTGCCTTTTCAACTGTCATGCAGCTGTGAGCATTTCCCCAGATTATAAAATATTCTTCAAAAATGCAGTTTTAAAGACTGCCTAAGACTCCGTCAAGAGGATAGACCATGATCACAGGGCTGTTAGGTTGTTCCCGATATAAATAACACTGCCACGAACATCCCAGCCCGGTACATGAACACCTGCCCGCATCTCCATTTCCTTAGTTCCCCTAGGCGGAATCACTAGGCCAACGAATGTGACATTTTAAAAGATGTTGACATTGTACCACCATATGCATTTCCAGAAAGACACAACAAACCCGTTGCTTTTCCCCGAGCCGAGTGAGAGGTGAAGTTCTGAAAGGGTTGGAGTTAGAAAGCAGGACAGTTGTCCTGTCTCTCCTCCTCTCCCCTAGTCTTGAAGGTTAACTGTCCAGCAAAAAAAAAAAAAAAAAAAAAAAAAAAAAGAATAATAATAAGAAGAAGATAGAATTCCAAGTCAGAAGACAGATGTCTGCAGCCCAGCTCTGCCTCTCCCTGGTTGGGAAATAAGCATCGGTTCGCCTCGCCTCCACTCTAAAATGGGTCTGATTGGTGCTGCTCATGCCCCAAAGCAGTTTCCTAGCTCACAGGAAAGTTCTCAAAGGGCATCAAAAAAGCAAACAACCATGCTTTTTGTCAAAGGGCATTATTCTTATCCTTCTCCTCACCTGGGGGACTGGAGAAGTGGTTGTTCTTTGCGAAAGCCCAAGGGCGTCCCTTCCTGGTACTCTTAGTCATCAGAATGCCCAGAGCAGGCGCTGGCCAGTTCTGAGTAAGAAAGCTTCCTGAAGGGAATCCGTGGGGTCGGAGGGCCCAGAGGTCAGAGACAGCCCTGGACGCTGCAGAGCCGAGAACTGGGCCAGGGTCTCCCTGAGAGTGCCCAGTGGGTCCAGGACTCAGAGGGCAAAGACTTTCCTGGTACACTTTCCTCTGCCTCAGAGACCCCAGCCCCTCCTTTCTATGATTCCAACTGAACCACTGGCCTTTGGGGGAACCAGAAACCAAGCTGATTCCGTGGATGAAAAAAAAAAAAAAAAAAAAAAAAAAGTCAACTGCAGAGGATCCTGGAGGAGGCCAGCAGCTCTGGCTTTTTCTTCCAGGCTGCCATAAATCAGTCCCTGGGTCTTTAAGACCCTCCGATTGGAAATGCAACTAGTGCTTCCAGCGTGCCCTCTCCAGCTCAGGGCAGATAGGAAAACGGAGACTCTGATGCCTCTCCCTTGAGAAGCACAGCTGACCACGGCCTGACCTACCCACCCGCCAATGCCCTTCCTCGGCCGGGTATGCCTCAGCCCGTGTGCTCACCCAGCACCTGGCCTGAGGGGACTCGGTGGCGTTCCCAGCACTGGCAGGGAGAACTGCGCAGACCCCGCGGAACGGGGTTTCCACCATCACCATCACCTCCGGGGTTTCCACCATCACCACAGGCCGCCCCCCACCCCTAAACCCACCTCCACGGCCAAAGAGATGAGCATGTCCTGTCTCCAAAGATGCACAACAGGTGGCACCTGCCCGTCCGCCCTCACTGCACATCTCCCTCTCTCCCTGCCCCTCCAGCTGCGCCCCGGTCCTCCAGCTGCGCCCGGCCCGGCCCAGCCTTCCTTACCTTTGAGGTTTTGGGGGTGGCCCCGCGGCGGCCGGCTCGGGTTTCCTCGGGGCAGAGAGGGGAGACTGGAGAAGTTGTTACCCATGGCATCCGGCCCCGGGGGGTTGTGCGCTCGCGGGGGCCAGGCGAGTCCGGGCAGGAGCGGAGGAGGCGCGGCGAGAGGGTGCGCGCGGGCGCGGGCGCGCGCCGCGGGGGGAGGGCCCTGGGGAGGCTGCGGCCGGGAGCCGGCGGGCGGCTCCTCGCCTCCCGGGCTCGGGGCTCCGCGGGCCTCGGCGGGTCCAGCCCGCCGCGAGGGTCCTCGCGCGAGCCGGCTACCTGCCTGCCATCGCCTGCGGCGGGGGCGGGGGCCGCGGGCAGGCCCCGGGGTCGGGGCCCACGGCGCCCGCGGCTCCCCCCTTCCTCTGGCTCGCGTTTGGGCTCGGGCTGGCGGTGGGCGGCGCAGCGGCTCCCGCGCGCTCCCCCGGGGCCATAGAGTCAGGAGGGCTCCCGGCGAGGAAGCTCAGGGGCTCGGCCCGCCCGGCGGCTCGGCGGCGGCGGCTGGGCGGCGGGCTCGGTCCCCGCCCGCGGGGACGGCCGCTGCGGTGCGGTGCGTGGCGCCCTGCCGCCGGGTGGTGCGCATGGAGCGGGGCTCCGTGGGGCGCGGAGGCTGCTGGGCGCTCCCGCGGTGGTGGGTCTCCTCCTCCGGCCGCCGCCGCCCCCGCCGCGCGCCCCCGGCCGTCGCCAGGATCCCCCGCTCCGGTTGCTATGGTGACAGCTGCGCTGCTGAATGAGCGTCTTAGTGACACGCGCGCGCGCAGCCAGCGGTGGCTCCAGGGCGCGCGGCTTCCCGGCTGCCCGGAGCTTTTCTTTGGGGGAGTGAGGGGGGTGCCGGGCCCGGATGGGGTAAGATATGGGGCAGAGGTGGGGCTCCAGGGCTGGGCTGAGCCCTCGCAGCGACAGTGGACCGCGGTCTTGAAAAGGAGAACCGGTACAGCAAGACATTGAGCTCCCCTGGTGCCAGGAGCAGTGAGAAAGCTCTAATGTACCGTTTCCCCTCACCAGGTACAGCCGGGCACCTAGCGAACGCTCAAGAAAAATATATATTTTTTTAATGATTGAATGGATGGTTGAGTAAATGAAGTGAGATTAGGAACCCCGGCATCTGACCCTCCACTCTCAGTCACATCTGAAGGAGCAAGGTCTCAGAACCAGAACCCAGGCTGTCTAGCTACTGGGCACAGTGTTGGGGGCCTTTGGGTGAATACAAACCGGACCCAGGAGACTAGGCTGCAGGCCAAGCTGGGGAAACAGATGGCAGGGACAAATCATCAGAGAACCAATTCGGAACTGAGTGGTGCTGTCAGCCATAAGAGTTTGGGGGAGAGGGGGCCTCTGTGGCCTGGAGCAGTCCTGGGAGGCTTTCTGGAGGAGGGGGCTTCAGCACGTCTCCAGTTCATGTGACTCTTCCATCCTGTGACTCAACACCGCTCCCGGGAGGCCTGCAGGAAGGGAAGAGGGAGTCATTCTCCTCCTACTATGTCTGGGACATCTCCCTCTCCCAGTCCATCAGGGGCAGATGAGCCAAGCTCTCCCCCCCACCCACCCACATCCCACTCCACCCCAGAGAGACTCTGCTTCCCTGCTCTCCTAGGTCACCTCTAGCCCTGACGAGGACGTGGGCTGGCAACAGGCATCTCACCCATCCCGTTAGGGAAGGTTCTTCCCTCAGGTCTCCATGCGATGGCTCCTTTTTATTCAGCCATAGCCCCTGACCTTCCCCAGCTAAAGAACCCGCCACTCCCCGTCACTTCCCATACCACTCTTCGGCTTCATTTTTCTAGAATGTTTGAAAGCAGCCTTTCCCCCTTGTTTATGTTCTTCCTCCCGCGCTAGAACATAAGCTCTGTGAGGCGAGAGAGAGAGCAGGTCAACTCCATTCCCCATGCCCTCCCCAGTCCCCCTGGCACAGGACAGACTATTTGTGGAATGGATGGATCCCCCTGCTTGCCAGCCAAAGAATTCTGCTAAGATCCCTGGGAGGAAAGCCTCTGAACCGAACAGCCCTTTATTTCCCTCCCCTGCCCTTCACCCCACCCTGTTGCAGGCATCACACCCTTACATGTCTGGAACTCCAGGGGAGCTAGAAATACCCAAGACAGCTGCTCTCTGAGGTCTGGAGGGACAGACAGCCCCCTCCCCCACCTCCAGCCTCTCAGATGCCCAAGATCATGTGCCTAGCCAGCTGCAGAATGGACATGGCAGGTCAGGGGTGCTATCTTATTTATGGGCGTATCTTCCCAAGGCTCACGCCTCACCGCTGACTCATGCGTCAGAAATCCTTGGGCCCTGAATAGCAGCACACTCACACCCTTGCACACACACCTCTACACTCTCTTGCACGCTCACTTCAACACAAGCCTGTACACACGCTCGCAATGTACTCATGTGCCCCATGAAGTCTGCTGGAATGAGGTCACGGGGAGTTGCTGCTGGCATCACAATAAATCTGAAGGCTCTGTACAGACAAGACTCGTTCCCTTGGAGTGTGTGTGTGTGTGTGTGTGTGTGTGTGTGTGTGTGTGAAGTGTGAGGCCCCTGGGAGGAACTGCAGACAGTGGCTGCGGGGAGGCTCAGGCCTTTCCTGGAGTCCCACCCTCCCTTCCGGGAAGAGGAGCTAGAACCTGGGCCAGGGGATGGTGGGGGGTGAGGCCCCCAGGGAAGAGGACAGCAGAGATGTAACAGGCCCACGTGGTCTAAACCCGGAGCTGCGGGCAAAGCAAGGGAGAGGTGGAGAAGGTCACAGAGAAGTGAGGGCCAGAGATGCGTGTTGCCTGGAGTCCAGAGGCAGCAACAGGCTCTGCAGCTCAGGACAGCCTGAAACCAGGGGCCCCGCAGGAAGGTGAGAGGCATTCGGTTCCGAGGCAGGGAGCTTAAGACGGGACACTGGGAGTATCAACTGGGCTGGGATTTTTTTAATTTTATTTTATGTTTTTAATGATATTTTAGAGAGAGGAAGGGAGAGGGATAGAGAGATAGAAACATCGATGAGAGAGAGGAACATCATCAATTGGCTGCCTCCTGTAGGCACCCCACTGGGTATTAAGTGGGGTGCCTACAGGAGGCACCCCACTTAACCTAGGCATGTACCCTGACCGGGAATCGAACCAGTGACCTCTTGGTTCCTGGGTGGACATTCAACTGCTGCATCACACCAGCTGGGCCAGGGCTGGGATTAGAATGAGGCAAGGGCGGCACCTCTTGTGTAAGATGTGAGGAGGCCCAGGCCCTCAGGGTCATGCAGGGGCAACCCTGGCCTTCCTCCAGCCTGAGGATGAGTGCCTCTGAAATGCTGCACCCGGGGGCACCTCCCTAGCCTGGCCCTAGCCCTTCCAGGGAGCTATGTACTATGGGAGGGGACACCACTACCAAGTGTCAACTGGGTGCAAGTCTCTGGCCAGGCCAAGTGCTAGAAAAGGTAAGGTAACTGGCTGGTGCCCAGAGAACCCCAGAGTGGCCCCTCTGAGGGGTCCTGTGCCTCAGAAACCCTTTCCTGGCAGGGGCTGTGGTCAGACCCAACTTAGAGAAGCAAATAACCCAGCACTCTTCTTCTCCCCTTCATCTTCCACCCCAAACACACACACACACACACACACACACACACACACACACACACGCACTGGGCAGAAGCCCAGAGCCCTTCAAGCCATCCACCAAGGTGGCTGCCAGCAGGCAGGGAAGCAGCCTTCGTGGCCCTGAGGGCCATTTCCAGCCTCATGCTGGAAGGGAGGAGGGGAAAAGGACCTGCCAGGGAGGCAGGGGCTGGATGAAGTCACCCTTTTGCTGGCTTCAATGGAAACTATTAATATCCATAAGGTGGTGCCCCAGTACCTGTCACCATGGCAACCCCACCTCCCTAATAGTGTGGATTCTGAAGACGGTGCCTATGGAAGCAGATGGGTGTGAGTGCAACAAGGTATTTGGGTGTGTTTTCTCGTGTGTCCTGGTGTGTGCATGTGCGAGTGCTCTAAGCACTCACACCAGCGTGCAGGGAGAGAGGACCCAACAAGGACCCAGAGAGAACTGACAGGGGCTTCTTCAGCAGCAGCTCCAGACTCCATTTCTTTCTTCTCTCTCCCTTGCTTCTCTCCCTTCTGGCTGACTCCATTCTCTCTCTCTCTCTCTCTCTCTCTCTCTCTCTCTCTCTCTCTCTCTCTCTCTCTCTCTCTCTCTCCTCCCCTTTGTCTTTCTGCACTTCTCTCCTCCCTCTCTCCTTTTGTCTTTCTGCCCTTCTCTGCTTCTCTCCACTTTTGTTTGTTTCTGTGTTTCCTGGCTGTCTCTCTCCTCCTTGTTCCTTGCCCTGTATCCTCCGGCTGGTTCACCTCTCTCTTCCTCTTCCTTCTCACTCCCCTCAGCACCCAGATCCATTCAAGTCTTGAAGAGTCTCCATGTTGATATAAAATATTTGCCTGACAGTCTCCTTTCTTCCTTCCCAAGCTCCAAGGTACTAAGCCCAGAACCAGTCACAGGGATGATCCCTCACCAGGCAGGCAAGAAAGGGGTTCATCTAGGCCAAGCTGGACCTCTCCTAAACTGGAGTTCACCCTAGTTGATAGTATGACACTTCCCTCCATGTCGAGAAACTAACCTTAAAATAGGAAACAGCTACAACCATCTCTTAGCCACAATGCAGGGTCCCCTGCCATCCCCAAAACCCACCCATAGCTATCTTGGCATGAGAAAACCTATACAGGGTTGTCCTGCCTGAACTGCAGGGGGTCTCTGGACACATTAACGGGGAGAGTACCCGATACTCAATATTTATTCAATGACTCAATGGATAAATCAGTACATTTACCTATCAATACAGCCATCCAGTCAGCCAGAGAGCCTTGCTCAAGCCAGCCCATCCTGCTAGTTCTTTTCTCAACAGTACCTTTCCCACAAAGTTATCCCTGAGGCCAGGCCTGCCCTCTGAGGGATAGGAGCCTGTGTACCCATGTTAGCAGGAAATGGGCACCATACTGCCTTGTTGCCAGGTGCGGTGGAATCTGGCATTGCTCATTGCCCCCCATAACCATTTACTGAACACCACCTGCATGCCTGGTG